ACTTTGCAAAATGAAAGGCGTGGTAGATTTTGAAATAAAGGGGAATTTTTTTTCTTGAAATAATGTTTCATTTGAAAAGTATGGCTGTCTTTCAGAATTACTATTCTGGAAATTGGAACTACTAGAATATTGTATGTAATGCAAACAGAATTTTTTATCAGAGATTTATAATATACTGTATAACCATAATAGGTATTGGGGCACATTTCAAGGTGTTTTCTCTGGATCAGTCTCATTGACTTTAGTGGAATGCCATTATGCTAAACTTAGACATAAGCAGAAGCAGTATTATTTCCAAGCAGTCAAGCACAAATAATTATCAATTTTGAGAACCTTGGCTTGAATAAACTTTTCATTTCATTTCCTACAGTGCTACTACTTCATATTTTACTTATCTCCACATTATTTAACTGATTCCTCATTTACCTTCCCCTGAATTACTCATGATCATGCAATTTCTCTAAAGCTGTAGTATTCAAATTGTCATCTCAGAACTAACATGGTCTTCACATCCTTTTTTTGCAATTTCCATAACACTTTCTGAGTATTAAAATTAATTTCAGAAGATTTCTGTTATTTTGAAATAAGAAACTTATATAAGAAGAAGAATACTATACTACTGTCCAGTTACCAGCTCCTTTGCACTGATAGAGGAATGAATCAATGAATGAGCAAACCTATTTATGCTCACTCCTCTTTTCCGTATTGTCTATATTATTTGGGCGGATATGTCTGACTGCACCCAGCAACCTCCTCTAAACAATTTTAATTGTGTTGTTCCACATTCAAATTCTGTGCTAGAGCCAAACTTCATTCAGAAAACTTCTATAATTTGGGCAGGAACCTATTTGCACACTCCTTCCTTTTTTTTCTAGACTAGAAAGAAAACTTGTATCAGATAATTTAGACATTAATGCATTTACTAGCCCTAAATAAATGATCCTTATGCAATCTCTAATCATGAGAAAATATATGAAATGGAAGCATAAGAATGTAAATCATGCGACAATGAAAATTTCTTCGGAATGAATATGTGATGTATTTCTCAGTTGCTTTGTTTACAGGGGAGAGTATCTAGGTAATAGTTTGCATTTATATAACTCCTGTATTTCCTGAAGTTTCTATATGATTTATTACAATGCATTAAGAGTGAAACAAGTTATAGTAGAAAATAATCTTTGATTGATAGCAATAGAAGCAGTCTATTAGCAATATCCATGTTTAACTACAAAATGAAAATGAAAAGTTTGCTGAGATGACTCTTCTGATTAGACTTTTCTAAAAGTAATGTCATGCCAACTTATATTTTATCATGCTCCCCTACTGCATTGCCTTGTATCAGCAAATTTGAGTTACAACTTTTACTCAGATTTTCTTTAGATTAACAGTCAACCTATTATTAGACATCAATAAATGGGAGTTGCGGTGCATTTTAACAAGAAAAACTGGCTGAAACATATATGATACTTTCTTTTAATATTCTTAGGGTTCCAGTTACTTATTCACCATCATACTTACCAAATCGTATGTCCCGAGGCAGACATATTCCATTAGGTAATTCAGCCTATGCTGCCGATCTTCTCTCTGAGGTAATTACGATTTTTTTTCCCTTTTAAAATATGTTCCATTTTTCTCTGTATATACAATATATAAGCATTTTCATAAGCCTTGAAGAAAGCAATAATAAATCTATATGGCAGTGTGGTGGCAATGTGGAAGATCTTTGTATTTCGAGGAGTTTAATGACATGTTTTGATTTTCCCTTAATGTTAGGAAATGTCTAAAAGTTTAGAGCTCATTCTGAGCTAAGTTTCTTGTTTCTCACTTTTGTTTGCTAAATAAAGAAAGTGTGTGTATGAGTGGGTGCAAATCTCACATAGTTACAAAGCTTTTCTTGATCCCAGAGTTATATGTCACATTGTCAAGGTCAAATCTTGCAGGCTCATGACCGTAAAAGCAGGGCCATGAAGTCATTATGACAGGTTTTAATAAAAACCCTAGATGCTGCACAGAATCTAGTACTGGGCCCTTCCTTTTTTTCCTGGTGTGTTTGTTGTCTCTGGATCTAAAAGAACCAATTTCCTGGATACCTGGTCATTACCTTGACATTTGGCAAAACAGCCAGTTGATTTAAAATATTACTTTGAATAAATAAAGACCCTTTAATTTATCCTAATCCTTTTCTGTTTTCAGACTCTTGGATTAGTTTGCTAATGTGCATGTAATTCAGTAGGTGGATTTTAATGTTTTCATTATGGGGTGTGGGTTTTGGAAGCAGCCAGCAAAAATATAACATCAAAGAACATAAAGGAATATCCTTAACTGGATAGTTTTTATTAACGCCATCTCACCAGAAGATGTGAAGTCAATTCTTTTATATGTCTTAAGGAAATGCAAAATGTAAAAGACTGTAGAAGAAAATAAAATTTGTGGTTATGAAATTTGAAGTTTGGACCTGGATTAAATATTAAGGTTTTAATGAAAGCTTTAGGGAACTTTTAAAAATGTATTTTAACACGGATAAACTAACAATGTTTTTACAGGAAGACCAGGGTGAACTTTTATTCTTATTTTATTTTCTATATAAAAACATGTCGCTATTTTTACAGCTCCTTCGAAGTGATTCTTTTTTACTATTTATACATATTTACACATATTTTAACCTTATCTTACTCTACATTGTTTTCCATCTTTCTTTATTTCGTCTACATTGTACTTTGATCTTCAACATTTTTTCCCCTCTCTCTTTTATTCCTTTTTCTATTTTATCTATGTTAATATTTGCATACAGGATTTAATGATTATTTAAATATTATGGGCCCTTCAGGTACTTTCTAGTTGCCATTTTCAACTGAATTGTAGTTTATTCTTTATTAATTTTTGATATTGTATTTTATTATCTTGTGCATAATTATATGTGCATGAAAAATGAAATTACTATAACTAATAATAATTTATGGGTGAAAACACTGGAAAGATCTGGAAATTGTAATATGGCAGACCAAAGTAGCAAGGAAATCTGAGCACTCATCCTTGTATTAAAAGAGAAATTATTCACTTTATTATTGAACTGTGAGAATTTAAGAAAAACTTAAACTGTCAAAATGAAAATGAATTTGATAAATTAGAAATAAATACTCTGCTTGACTGCATATGTCATAATACACTACTTGCGGCATGTCTTGATTAGAAATTAGAGGCTTGATTCTCATCTTGCCTTAGGAATCAAGACCAAGTGGGTGACTTTGAATCAGGCACTCTCTCTTTGAATTTAATCCCCCCCCAAAGAGTTATTGTTATGATGAGAATAGGAACAGAAGTATTACCTTGTTACCTAGAATAATCCACTGCATCATTAAAGTTGGGTAAAGGGGATCAAGAATTTTTACAACTTGTCTCTCCATTAGGGCAATACTTATCTGAAAACAAAACTGGATTGAATTGTGTGTGTGTTGGGAAAGGAAAGCAAAAGAAGTCTTGAGTTTGAAAATGGGCAAATCAGATCCAGGGTTATGAAGAACCTCCCCTCCCTAGTGCATTTTCCGATATAAGAAGCAGTAACTTGGAATGTTGGTTAACTGCTTCATTCTAAATCCTTCTCCCTCCTCCTTCCCAGTTACGCTGTGAGTGAACTCTGTTTAAGAGGTTGAAAAGAACACTGGAAGCTGCACTTCACATTCTTTCTGTACCTTACCCTATTTTGCAAATTGTTTTAGCGTAAGTAGAAACAGAATAGTGTTGTGTTTAAGTAATAACTGCTTTTTGTACTATCCAGTGAGAAGAGAAAGAGGTTATTTAACTTTACTAACTGTTCTTCCTTTCCATTTTAATATTGTAAAACATTTGCTCTGTTTTAGGTGACCGTGCATCCTTTTGTAGAAGTTACATTTCAGAAAACAGTTTATCAGACTAGCACTGCAGATGGCTCTCATCCATGCTGGAATGAAGAACTTCAAGTTGATTTTAAGTGAGTTAACATTTCAACTTCAATAAAGTTTGTTTTAGTAAGATCAATGTAGCATTTAAATTAGTAAAAATTCCATGTCTCCTCTGTGTCCAAATACTTCTTGCACTGCAATCTATTCCATTTTCTTAGACATTGGACTTCAGTTGTACATTATCTGCATATAGTGGAACACGAACCCAAAACAATGATTTCTTATTTATTACCTGAATGTTTTGAGGGGTTTGCTCTATAAAGAAAACAGTAAAACAGTAAAATCTCACTTTAACAGATTATTCAGGGAACAGCATGTCCTATATATATATATATATATATTTGATTTATATGCCGCCCTTCTCCGAAGACTCAGGGTGGCTTACAATGCGTTAAGCAATAGCCTTCATACTTTTGTATATTTATACAAAGTCAGTTTATTGCCCCCACAATCTGGGTCCTCATTTTACCTACCTTAGAAAGGATGGAAGGCTGAGTCAACCTTGAGCCTGGTGAAATTTGAATTTGCAGTAATTGTAGGCAGCTGATGTTAATAACAGTGCTTTAGTCTGCTGCGCTACCATGGCATATTTGATGTTTGGATAAATCTAAACTTGTATCATTGTCATCAGTTTATCATTTCCCTAATTATGTAATTGCGCTATAACCTTTAAACTGAGAGTCAATTAAAACAGTAGATCATTGATTCAAGATTATTTTTGTTAAACTGAAATTTTATTGCAAATGATGCCATTTAGTCATTTTATAATTATGCAAATGATTGAAACTCACACAAATGATAAGTTCAAAATTAACAGATATGAATGGTCAATTTAATGTACGTAATGTAAATGTTTATGTATGAGACTTAATATTTTTAAAATCTAGATGTGATTTCAGAGTTTCAAATGGAAACATATGTATGCAATTGTACAGAAGATTCACAGAGTCTATACAGCACAGTATATAGTTTAAATAGCATTACTATTTAATACATGGATATTTTAATATTATTTTTAATTTGTATATGTTTAAAGTAGAAAAAATATAACTTTTCTTAATTTCATTTCAAATATTTGTTGTTTGTTTCAGCTCTCCAGCACATGATTATACCTTTTTAGGTTTATCTAAAATAAAAGACAACATAAATATTAGCATTTTTGATGAATTTGTGATTGAAAAGCATGAGGTAAATTATGTATTAGAAAAAAGAATAAACTTTTAAATAAGGAATCATAGACTGGTTTGTAAATATGTATAAGAAATCAGAATCAATACTTTTTTTTCATTTTGATTAATGAATGGAAAGTTGTCATTAAGTCCAGAATATAATTGTAATATTTCTTATTATATTGTTTAAGAAAAGAAGGTGTTATACATAAACGCTGTTCAGAATGCTCCACCTCATTTTGTTCCTTGATGTATTTCTTCAACTTTGATTAGTTAACCAACTATTAATGGAGCATACTGACTTGGCCAATATGATTCACTCTTGTCACTTCCAGCTAGATTATTTTAATATTATATATGGGATTACTTTTGAAAACCATTCAAAAGCTGCAGTTGTGGATACTGTATTTTTAAAATGTACATACGCTACCTTGCATTCTCTATCTCGCACATAAATACATGCATTAATCTAAATACAAAATATTAATCCAAGTTATATATTTAACTAGGATGCCTGCCCAAATAGTTGCAGTGGTCATTCTTACATAAGAAAAAACTGGCTTGGATCAATTGTGTTTCCTTTCTCTGCTCTACTTGAACAATCAAAGGTAATAAAGAACAAGAAATGTGGTTTTAAACATGTCAGTATAATCCCTGTAATGCAGCCATCCCATCAGATGTTTACTGTGACTTTATTATATGTATGTGTTCTCAGATCTGTGGAACATTTCAAATAGATATGCCACCTGTTGTACTTGGATATACTTGGAGTAAGACATATGTACCTCCTAAAGAAGAATGTTTGGGACAGAACCTGAAAGAATATAGCTTTTTAACCATCTTTGCCACTATTGAACCTCAGTTATCCTCTGCTGAAAATAATTTAGAACTAGATACGGTAGGCATTTGTAATTATCTTGTTTGATATATAAGATAATTTTAAAATATTTTTTCCAATTATAAAGTACAATACATAGATAGTCCTCAACTTATGACCAAAGTTAAACCCAAAGTTATGGTCATAAGGCATTGTGGTTGTAAGTTGAAGCAATATGGGACTGGGCCTGATTTATTTTACATTTTTATGGCAGTCATTTAGCAAAAACTGGTTGTTAAACAAATCTATTTTACCCAATGAGCATTTTTTTTGCTGGAAACTGGAAGTTAATGCCAGAAAGCTCACAAAAAATATTGAGCTGCTGCAAATGGCTGTAAAGTTAGCCAAGCACCCAAAATTTAATCATGTGACTGTGAGGGTACGTATGGCCATTGTAACTTTGAAATGAGGTTGTAGGGAGGGTTCATCATAACTTCAAATGGTTGTTAAGTGGTTGTAAATTGAGACTTAATTCTGAATATGTCTTTAGTTTGCAGATCATGAAGCAGAAACACTATTGCAAAGAGCATATATTTTTAAGCAAACATGGAAAGCAGTGTTTCCAAAGAGAAGAATAATGACCTCAGTTTTTAACAATCAGGGAAGGAATATTTTAGTAACAAAGTACATTAGCCCTTTGAATCCACCACAACTATTGCTAGATATGTATCCAAAAGATCCCAATTCAACTTCTGTGAGTATGATTTATTATTAAATAAAAACTTTCTGATTTCATTAAATATGACTTTGAGGCATTTCAAATTATTATTTCTCTCTAGATTTTTCTGGTGTGCCAATTAGAACTTTTTTTATATATTTCTTAACAAATGTAAAAAGTATAATACAATGAATAAATAAATAATTGATGGATATTGTAATTCCAAATAAAACAAATCAGTTGGATTTGCTGATTTGATTTCCTGCTGACTAGATTTCATCTTATTTATTTTCTAGGACCTTATATCACGATTTGTATCTTTAATTCCTTGTATAGCAGATGCAGTGGATGAAAATAATGATGTTGATGTGTGGATGACATCAGAGGTACTGCCAAATTTTGTAGCTCTGCTGATTTTTAAAAATTGGTTTTATTTTTATGTAATTTGCATTGATAGCCTCTGAAGTAGTTATATGGAAGTGAGATATAAATGTGTGGTTCTTATACTTTTTCCCCTTAGGACCTCTTTCCACTTTTAAAAATTATGCAGGACCTCAAAAGAGTTTTTCTTTATATAGATTATATTTATAAATATTTATCATATTAAAAATTAAAACTGATGCATTTGCTGCCACTACCTCATCTCATAATTGTTTGATGAGATTTTAATAATGTGTTTTTTTTTATATAGACTGGCAAATAATTTTGATTTTGTTGATCGTTAATTTTGTTAATTGTAACATTGTTTGTTCTATTCTGAATTTAACTCTAAATTTGAGTAATCTGCTGAATTATTTAAAAAAACAGTTTGAGCCTAGAGTGGACCTAGGAAAAGAAAAAAATTATTTAGTGATGTGGTACTTGTGATCTAGTGAAAGCCTTAAATGTCATGCTGCTTTATCAGTTTACAAAAAATAGTTGAATTATAAAATACCGGGAATGTGTTTTCCTGCAGAGGGAAGGATATTCTTATAAATTGTTCTCACTTACTCTGATACACAATAATATAAAAAGTAGTAGAAACTGACTCCCTAATAGAGAGCATTCTGTTTCCAGATTTGTTTCTGTCTTACTCTGAGATAGGATATATTACCCATAGCTCACTAGCTTTTCCTCTTATGTTTCATATAGTTTCATATAGTTTCACCTACCTCTATCTTGTCTGCTTTTTATCCTTAAACCCATTTTTCTCGTTTGATAAAGAACAAGTTCTTTAAAGCTTTGTGTGCACTATATCTAGTGCTGAGGAGCAAGAAAGCCCAGAAGGTTCTCAGATGAGGAAGAATCCATCCAAACCCAGAAGAGCGGAAAAAAATAATTGGCTATGGAATCAAGTCCTCCCAGCGTCAGGGCATTTTTCCCATCTGACATCAAAATTTTCTCCTCCCCCTCCCAGGTACTGTGTCTGCCTAAATGGGCTTATTATTCGCCCTAATTGAGGGAATCTTCTTTCTCCCCCCCTTTTCTTCCCCTCTTCCTTCTTCCCCTTCCCTTCTTCCCTTTTTTTCATCGGGACTTACTCGAATATGATCTTGAGTATAAGACTTTGCCAAGGATTTTCCATCTTCACCCCTGGCGTGACTCATAGACTGACTGATAGACTGATAAATCTTTCTTCCGACCATGGTCAGCCAAATTGATGCAACTGTTGAGGGGTCCTCTATTACATCATGGCTCTTGTCTGTGGGAGAACTTTTTCAATCTACGGCCCCGTGGGGTTCCGCTGTGAGAGGGCGGGCCGGAGGTCGCCCCCATTGGAGGAGATAATTTAGGACCCTCCTGCTGTTGTGGGAGGACAGTTGAGACACCAACAGCACATCGATGAACAATTGGCTGTGTTACATCTTTTGTGAAGTCCCCTGTCTGAGCTTTGGGCCTCCATCGCTGCATTTTGGAGATGTATACGACTGCAGATCTTCTTGCGCTGCGAGATTCCCCCTTCTCGCAGATGTGGCCCTCCTCACTATCGAGGGCCCACCTCAAGGAAGGGTTTTGGGACCCAGAGAGGTGGCATGTGAAAACGAGGGGATTGAGGGGTTTTTTAACAAAATTTTTAGTCAAATTTTTAAGGGGTCCTAGGGAGGGGGAGGGTCAGATTGGAATTCGGGCTGTGGGTATGGGGGATAACCCACAAGGGGGAGGGTCGGGTCTGGCAGTGAAGCGTGGTGTGGGGGATGGAGGGCCCGGGATCGAGGGGGGGGGTTAGAGCTTGTCCGGATAGTTTTTTGAACATCAGTACTGTAGGTGGGAGGGGTAGATATGGCGGGAGCAGGGGGCCATATCGTGTTAGGGGAGTGTGCACTCGCTGTCTACGAGCGGTGGCGTGCTCCGGCCCCCAAGGCTCTACTCGCTCCTCAGGTTGCATAGACCCTCAGGACCCAGGCCTTCGGCTGATGCTGTGCAATGCCAGGTCCGTAGTAAATAAAGCCCCCCTCATCTGTGATCTTGTTCAGGAGGGGGGTGCGGACCTGGCAGGTATTACGGAGACCTGGTTGGGCCAGGAGGGGGGGGTTCCCCTCGTTGAAATGTGCCCGCCAGGTTTCCAAGCATTCCATCAGCCGAGGTCACAGGGGAGGGGCGGGGGGATAGCGGTTATCATTAAAGAAGGTCTGAGACCGAGGGAGGCCACTGTTCCTCAGACGGCCGGCTGTGAATCCCTTTTTGTGAAATGGGGTCATGGGGTTCAGATGGGTTTGCTGATCACGTACCTGGCTCCCTGCCACGTGGCAACAGCCCTGCCCGAGCTACTCAACGTCATCGCCGCGGTGGCGGTTGATACCCCTAAGCTTATGGTTATGGGGGATTTCAACCTGCCGTCTGTGGGTGAGACGTCAGAGATGGCTCGGGAGTTCATGGCTTCCATGACAGCTATGGACCTGACCCAGTTAATTCATGGCCCTACCCACACAGGGGGAAACACGCTGGATCTGGTTTTTGTCTCTGGACAGTGGTTGAGGGATCTTGATATAGGGGATATAGTTACTGAACCCTTGTCATGGTCAGATCACTCTCTCCTTCGTCTCGACTTTCAAACCGCTGCACCCCGCCGCAGGGAGGCGGAGCCGGTCAGATGGTTCCGCCCCAGGCGCCTGATGGAACCTGACAGATTCCAGACGGAGCTTGGGCCATTTCCTGAGGTTCTGGCACACGCCTCGACTGGAGACCTGGTGGCCGCCTGGGATAGGGCGGCTGCTGGTGCTCTGGATCGGGTCGTGCCTTTGCGGCCTCTGACCCGGCGCCGATCTCAATTGGCTCCTTGGTTTACCGAGGAGCTGAGGGAGTTGAAGCGCCGGAAAAGACGCCTAGAGAGTAGTTGGAGGGCCAGTCTTCTTGAATCTGACCGGACACTAGTAAGATCCCACATTAGGAATTACTTAGTGGCGATAAAAGCAGCGAAATGTAGTTATTTTGCTGCTCTTATTGCGTCATCAGATAATCGCCCGGCCGCCCTCTTTAGGGTGACCCGCTCCCTGCTCCACCAGGAAGCGCGGGAGGACCCCTTGGAGGGTAGAGCCGAGGATTTTGTTCAGTATCTGTATGACAAAATCACTCAGATTCGGGAAGATTTGGACTCCGACTGGGTAGTCTCAGGGGGAGAGACAGGGGCAGGTCTTGAGAATGTTATCTGGGATGAGTTTGATCCTGTGACCCCTGAGGACGTGGACAGGATTCTGGGTAGACTGAACGCGACCACTTGTTTATTGGACCCGTGTCCTTCCTGGTTAGTACTGGCTTCCCGGGAAGTGACACGAGGCTGGCTCCAGGGGATTATAAACGCTTCGCTGAGTGAGGGTGACTTTCCCGCCGCCTTGAAAGAGGCGGTGGTGAGGCCTCTCCTCAAGAAGCCTTCCCTGGACTCGGCAATGTTGGTAAATTATCGTCCGGTCTCCAATCTTCGCTTTGTTGCGAAGGTTGTTGAGAGTGTGGTCGCGCAACAGCTCCCCCAGCACCTGGATGAAACGACGTATCTGGATCCGTTCCAGTCGGGCTTCAGGCCCAGGTACAGCACGGAAACGGCATTGGTCGCGTTGGTTGATGATCTCTGGAGGGCTCGGGACAGGGGGTGCTCCTCTGTCCTGGTCCTGTTAGATCTCTCAGCGGCTTTTGATACCATCGACCATGGTATCATGCTGCACCGGTTGGAAGAGTTGGGGGTGGGAGGCACTGTGTTGCGGTGGTTCTCCTCCTTTCTCTCTGACCGGTCGCAGTCTGTGTTGACAGGGGGACAGAGGTCGACCCCGAGGCCCCTCATATGTGGGGTGCCGCAAGGGTCGGTCCTCTCGCCTCTCCTGTTCAACATTTATGTGAAGCCGCTGGGCGAGATCATCCGTGGTTTCGGGGTGGAGTACCATCAGTACGCTGACGACACCCAGCTGTACATCTCCACCCCGGATCACCCCAACGATGCCCTTGAAGTGATGTCCCGGTGCCTGGAGGCCGTACGGATCTGGATGGGGAGGAACAGGCTCAGGCTCAACCCATCCAAGACTGAGTGGCTGTGGTTTCCGACGTCCCGATATAGTCAGTTGACGCCATCACTGACTATTGGGGGCGAATCATTGGCCCCCACGGAGAGGGCTCGCAACTTGGGCGTCCTCCTGGACTCACGGCTGTCTTTAGAAGAGCACTTGACGGCCGTGACCGGGAGGATTTTTCATCAGGTTCGCCTGATTCGCCAGTTGCGTCCCTTTCTGGATCGGGACTCTTTACGCACGGTCACTCATGCCCTTGTCACCTCCCGCCTGGACTATTGCAACGCTCTCTACATGGGGCTCCCCTTGAGGAGCACCCGGAGGCTCCAACTGGCGCAGAGTGCGGCCGCGCGGGTGGTAATGGGAGCGACATGGCGTTCCCATGTAACACCTCTCCTGCGCGAGCTGCACTGGCTCCCGGTGGTCTTCCGGGTGCGCTTCAAGGTTTTGGTTACCACCTTTAAAGCGCTCCATGGCTTAGGACCCGGGTACTTGCGGGACCGCCTACTACCACCAATAGCCTCCCACCGGCCGGTACGCTCCCATAGAGAGGGGCTCCTCCGGGTGCCGTCAGCCAAACAATGCCAACTGGCGGCCCCCAGGGGGAGAGCCTTCTCTGTGGGGGCACCTACTATCTGGAACGAGCTCCCCCCAGAGATACGGAGGATCCCGGATCTGCGCACCTTCCGCCGCGCCTTAAAGACCTTACTATTTCACCAGGCCGGCCTGGCCTAATTTTCCCCCTCTTTTATAAAAGATTTTTAAAATTTTAAATATTTTTTAGTATTTATATATTCAATTTTAAATTGGTTTTAAAAGTTTGGGGTTTTAAATTTGTCGGGGCCAAAATTATTTAATTTGATTTTATTCTATTTTTTAAATTTTGTATTGTATGTGTTTTTATTGTTTGGCTGTGCACCGCCCTGAGTCCTTCGGGAGTAGGGCGGTATAGAAATCTAATAAATAAATAAATAAATAAAATATTATTTCTTTCTTTTCTCTGCTGCTAAGTCTTAATAGCAGAGAGCCGACATCCCTCCCCAGAGAGGGTAGAAGTTTCTGGAAATTTAGCAAAGATAACCATCTGGACTTCACACATCATTATAGGGAGCATATTAAAGTTCCTCTATGCCAAACCTTATTTGATTAGAAAAATTATAATTAAAAACAAGGCTTCAAATTACTTCCTCACAGATCACAAAATACTATATTTCTAGTAATTGCTTTGTCATTCTCTGCATAGCTTTCTTCCCAGCACAAAATTCCTATCAAGTATTTATTTTAGAAAAGAGATGGAATTTTAATCAATTGCTTGAAGTAATTCTTCCATCCATCTATTCCTGTTTTTTCTTGTTTTTCAGTAAATACATCCAAATATTTCAATATGTCCAACGTGGTTTTAACATTATCTTTCAACTGTCCTCTAGGTAAAAACTCACATTGATCCTCATAAATAAAATCTTGCAAAATTATTTTCAATCCTCAACTTAAATCATCGTAAAAAAACATAGTCATTATTCAATAAAGATCGATTTGTAATTTCTTACTCAAGTCAAATCTTGTCCCTTTTTAGGTATAACTGTTATATTAGCTCTTTCCAAGTCTCTGGCATCTTTCTTCTCTTTCCTTCCTGTAGAATAAAAATCATCATATTTTGTAAACGTCGTAAAAATTCATTCTCAAAGAATTTATAATACAAACTTGATAGACCATCTGATCCAAGCAGCTTTCAAGGTTTACTCTTTTTAATTGCTTTTGAAAAATTCATTATCATTATAATGGATTCATCATTTGCCTTTGTTCTTCAGTGATCCAGGGTAAATTTTATTTTCAAAGATATTCATATATTTTCTCCATTGGAATATCATGTCCTGAATAACAGTTAGAATAATACTATTATATAATATCTGTATAAATACAAATATTTATAGAATAATATTATTATAAATATTTGTATTTATACAGATATTATATAATAATATTATTCTATAAATATTTGTATGGAAACATTATCTGTTAATATGGTATCTCTCTCTTGTAGTTTCAATATTCTTTTCGCTTTTTCTTCACGATTTATAAACCAGCCGTCTCCCTGGTTTATTTTGTGTAAACTACTTTGTGTAGTTTAATTCTATTTCCATTTCTCTTATTGTTAACATCAATAATCCTTAATTATTATTTCTTTTTCTGTCATACAAAATATTTTGCACTCTTGCCTCTTCTTAAATTCAGAATTATATTTATCAAATAAGCTCTAATAAAGATTTTACTTGCATCCCAAGTGAATTCTCAAATCCGTACCTTTATTTAATTTTTTTTAAATTAATTTGTTTTTGCAGTCCTCAGCAATCTTTCTGCAAAAACATTTAATTTTTGTATATTCATTTATATTTCACATTTCTGTACTGTCCATCTCCCTCTATATGAAAGAAAAAGAATTTTCTTTTATAAATCAGAGTTATGATCTGAAAAACTCTTTGATAAGATCTATTAAGGTTTATGAAATTTTAACAGTCAAATCACCTGAGGGGTAAATCATATCTGTTCTTGAAAAACATTTGTGTCTTTCTAAAAAATAACTGTACTTTGTAAAACTATGTTTCTTTCCTCTCCATACATCAACCAACCACAATTGTCCATCAAATTCTTAAAAATATGGTAATTTATCCTCAATAATTTAAATTTTTTTTAGAAGTCTTATCCTGTTGGAGGAAAACCACTCCATTAATCTATGAATGAAGATAAGTTATATATGGCATAAATCCCAGTATTATTATTTTAATGTTATATAACTTCTACTTCAACAAACCTGCCATGTTAATCAGTTAATACAAATTGTTTGTTTAGTTGAGGATTAATGGACAAAGCAACTCCATTTCTCTTTTTAATATCTGCTGAAATAAATTCTTCATCCAAAGTTTTATAGGTCAAATATTTTATATCCTTTTTATTGTTACGATTCTCTTCTGGGCAAATTGCTTTAATTTTTCCAAGTAATATTTCTTTTCTTTTCTGAGGAGCATTTGCTTCATTTATATTCCGTGTAAAACAATTGTAATCCATAATTAGTTAAAAAAGTTAGAAAACTCCAAATCTGTAGTACCTATTTCAGTATCATCTTTTTCCAATTCCCATTGTTTGTTTTTGTTTTGTTTGTTTTTATTAAATTTATATACCGCCCTACTCCCGAAGGGCTCAGGGCGGTGAACAGGCACAAAATAAAATACATAGATACATTGCATCTGTTGTGACTGAAATTCTATGATTTCTATTTCTGTTCCCTCAAATTCTTCTTTATATCTTTCTGAAAACATCCCTTGCCTTTTGAACAGTCAAATCTGATTCTTTGCTGTTTGAAAGTAAAAATTTATCCCATTGAAAGGGAGTTTTTTTTTCTGTTTTAATTTTTCAACCAAAAGGGAATATTATTTCTTCTTACACAAAATTCAGTTGGGAATCTCTTTCCCATAATTGTTGGGAAACAATTATATCAGTATTACCCATTTTCAATATTGTATCCAAAAATAAGGTTGTCATAAAAGAATTTGGAGATGTTGAAAGAGAGGCTGTTGTTAGAATGGTATATGAGGCTTCTGTTGTGTTATAAGGATTTTCTCAATATCCCAAAGGTGCTTTTTCAAAAGGCAAGTTTTTCCTTGAAGACTTTTCACTTCTCATCCAAGGTTTTCTCAATAGTGCTTTGTTAATCTTGACCCTAGATCTAAGCAAAGAAAAGGCCTTTGATCACGCTTAGTTTTGACAATGGATAATAAATGAGTCAAGATTCAGCTTTTGTGGCTGATGCTAGTTCAAATATATCCAGTTTATTCTGAATATGACTTTTAGTTCAAAATCTTCATTTCTTTCTTTTTAAAGACATCCTTTGTAAATGGCCAGGATATAGAACTTTCAAAAATAAAGCATTTGCAGTTTTGCAAAGGAGACAATTTAAGCAGCAGTAAAATGGAAGTTTTCAATAAAGACACAGTACCTTACTCACTAAAAATATTGTGTAATATGAAAAACAATAGGCATAATGCCAGCCACCTACCAATATAGATTTATAAATAATTGATGCATCAGTGAGGGTGCTCAGTAATAGATCAGGGAGTGCTTTGCAACCAAAACGATAGTTATACTCTAAATTTGTTCTCTCCAAAGTGTTTCCAACGTTTCTTCAAAATATCTCTGGAAAGTCGCACAAACATTGTATACTTGTTGCAGGCTACCAAGGAGTTCTTTCGTATCAAGTATATGTAGGATCCTGTTCAATATTTTTCATTGTTCCTAAGAATAGAGATTGCAGATCAGTACTGCATTTGGAGAAAAAAATGGAATCAATTTATCAGATAAAGATAGTTTAGGATTAAGGACTCCATATCTTCCTGGCAGCCTACAGACCAAAGATTTCTTTACTTTTGACAGTCCTCCAGATGAATTCACACACACCAATCTAACTACTTCATTATCGTTTTTTTTTTTTTTGCATATTAGATGCAATTCAAAGCTTTCTCCCTTGAGTTCTTTCCTCCGTGCTTAAATTATTCACCAGCGTTTTAGTAATGTTCATAAATAATGAATTTGGGTAAATATTGGAAAGAGTAATCTCCATCTAATACCAGATTGGGGGAAGTACTCAATATGCAATTTGTTGAACAACAAGATAAAGTCAGATCCAATTCTAGAAAAAGCCTAGAATTTAAACATGAAGTGTTCACATATATTGATATTTTATATCAGTATTTCGCAGTAGTCCTGTCTTCTGTGCATATATTATTTATTGTTTGTCTGCAAGCAAGTAACAAAGGCAAGCTGCTCAGTCACTCACTTCATGAATTGAACTGCATAAACAGAGTAAATTTAACAAATGATTTTGTAAATTCTGTTTTAGTAACTTCCAGGTAATGGGATTAAATGCCTGGAATGCAGGGATTTATTGCTACACCTATTATGAGTCTGACATGCATTCACCTCCCACAGTCGCTAAATGAATCATGTGGTTGTTAAATGAATCTGGCATCCTCCAATTTTGAGTTTTGGAAGCCTCCTGGCAAGGTTGCAAATGGTGCCTATGTTACCCTGGGATGCTGTAACAACTGTAAATTCCTGTCAGTTGCTAAATGCCTGAATTTTGATCACGTGACCGCAAGAACATTGTTATAATCATGGTCATAAGTGTGAAGACCAGTTGTAAATAATTATTTTCACACTTTAACACCAAGGTCGATTCCTGTATGATATTATTGCTTGACCTTATTTTATAGCAACTTCTTTACCAGATTGCTAAGAAGGTGCTAGAATAATTAATGGAGGGAGATTCATTCATTACCGATACTTGATTAAACAACTTCAGCTCCTCCTGATGTGATCTCAACAAATGCTTATTATATACCTATTTTAAACTCCTTTTAGCTTCTGAATCTCGAAATATAGAAGAAACAATTAACTTATGGAACTGGGGTGGTATAATTTTTTAAAACTTTTTCAATAATGTATGGCTACCTGAAATATCTTGCTGCTTCTAAACTTTTTCATAATAATAACACTCTGCTATTCATAGTGACATTATATTGTTATTATGTATGAAGAAGATTACCTTTTTAAAGAAAAGTAACATCTGTTTTTTTTCTAGCATTGCATCGAATTGGGTGTTGGCAATAAAGAAGAACATGCAGTGCTTCTGTGTAATTATCTTCTGTACCTTGGGAAAAAAGCCTGGGTATTGTTAGGAACATCTGTGTTAGAAGTAAGAGCAAAATAATTTTTGAATTAGCAAAATAATTAAAACTATGCTTCCCGGATATTCTAAACTACACAATGAGTGAAATTGTAAAGCAGATTGAGATTCTTATATGAAGAAAAACATTAGTACATATGTTAAATCAAGCAACTTAAGCCATGGATGGTTTTAAAGATGCTTTCATGAGTTTCTTTTCAAACAAAACGATCTGATCTGAAAACTGAATTGGTCTTGATGTCACAGTATTTATTATTATTCACTAGCGTATGTGAATATGCAGTGCTTCTTGCTCAGGGATAGTGCACAAAGCCAAAATGGAAATTAATTAATTAATTAACTTCCACAATGGAAGAATGATTAGAGAAACTGATGGAACTAGTGGAGTTCGCCAAATTAACTGCTTTAATCAAAGAGAAGAATACATCCAACTTTGTTTCTATCTGGAAATCGCTTAAGGATTTTATGCTTGAGATGCAGGAAAATGAAACTTTGACTTTGGGATTTACTTTTTACTTTATTTGTGTCAGAAGTATCTTCAAATTATAGATATAGTGCTGCACGATGGGGTGAGCCTCCGTCACTTGCCCCAGCTCCTGCCCAAATAACAGTTCAAAAGAAGGCAAATGCAACAGTGGTGGGTTTCAAATTTTTTTACTACCGGTTCTGTGGGTGAGGCTGTATGGCCATGGCATGGCTTGGTGGGCGTGGCTTGGTAGGCATGGCAGGGAAAGGATACTGTAAAATCCATTCCCTCCCCACTCCAGGGAAAGGTTACTGCAAAATCCCCATTTCATCCCAATCAGCTGGGACTCGGGAGGAAGAGAATAGACGGGGGCAGAGCCAGTCAGAATTTTTACTACTGGTTCTCCAAAATACTCAAAATTTCCGCTACCGGTTCTCCAGAACTGGTCAGAACCTGCTGAAACGCACCTCTGAAATGCAAGTAGATTAATAGGTAACACTTTGGTGGGAAAGTAACAGCGTTCTGTATGCCTCGGCATATAGTCGTGTTGGCCATATATACACGGAAATATAGTCAGACAATGCTGTCTCCCTTGGCTAAGAAATGGAGATGAGCACCGCCTCCTAGGGTCGAACATGGCTGGACAGGGGAAACCTCTACCTTTCTTTAACATTCAACACTGAGCAATAAAATGGGTATAAAATAACTCTTAAGAAATATAGCACCTGTAAAAAGTATGTATGATGAATAGAATTAAAACTAAATGACATTCACCCAGTATTGGGCCATGTCAACATCATTTTCTGTCACTAGCATGATTGGGATTTACTGATTAGATAAATTTTCTTCCTTATAGAAATGGCTAGTAGTATATACTGAGTATGCAAAGTAAAAAATTGAGATGAATGTTACTATGTTCATTCTACTGTGCTGAAAAGTTAATGCTTTTTTCTTTTTGCCTATTTATCCTACACCTCTTTATTTCCCTTTTTCGCCCTTCCCATTTTCCCATTATTTTCATTTGTATTTTATACTCTAATGTTTAATAATATTACACTATAATAAAAAGAAATAGTGCACAGAAGTGTTGTACTGGAAACAGTTGCATAGAAAAAAAGAATACATTGGGAAGTTGAATAACAATTATATATTTGCTGCAGTTTTAAAAAATAATTTGCCCAAAATAGTTGATGGAACAATTACTTGCATGCATATTGTACCAACACGATTTCAGTTTACACTGATTTGCACATTCAGTTGATTCTTTTTATTTAATTTCAGATTTAAGAAAACTCTATCATAGATATTAAGGCTTATTTCAGATCACGTTATTTCATATGCGTCCTGTTTCAATAGGAAAGAGAAATAATTTCATACAATAATCTTGAACTAGAATGGCCAAAGATGGGAAACCAGAAATGAAACTGCACCATAATAGTTTGTTGTGTGTTGGAATTAATATTTGGAGAGCTATAAGTGTTTCTACCTTACATATGTCAGTGTTCTCATTCTAAAACTTAAATCAGATATTTATATTAATGTATGTAAGGATTTTTTTTTTCAGAATAATGCTACATGAATAATTTATTAATTAGAAAATATAATTAAGTATAAAATTATTTATTTTGGATTTGGAATGAATAAACATTTTGCTAATAGGGGAAAGTAGCTTATGCTGCAACACAAGAAAATGGAGAATATTTTCTGTGGAATCCTCTGAGCGGTCACTGCTATAAGCAGTTTGATGCATTTTGCCCCCTACAGAGTGTTGATTGCTTAATCAGTTGGGAAAATGTAAGTATAATAAAATGGGTTGATAATGTATATATAATCCTAATGTATCCAAGTAGTTGGACATTCCATGATTATAGTATTATAATTAATGTGATGGGGGGAGAGATGAGTTATATTGAACATTTCTGATACCTCTGTAATTTTAAAAAATCTAATGTAAGCAGACTGCTATCCTATCGTTTCTAATTAAAAATTTCTTGGATAGCTCTCTCCATTCAACCTCCAAACATGTTCAGCTGTTTCTATGCTCTCTTGCTTTAGCTGGAAGAGTTTCATTTCTCTAAGCTTTTGTCAAGTGTGAAGATTTGTAGCTCAAGTACTTGTTTGTTGTCACCAAAAATAATTAAATTTAGAAAATGGCAGATATAAGATAAAAGCTTTCTGTATTTTGCAATCTTAAAAACTTTGTTATTGCTCTATGATGGAATGTGTATATAAAGTACAACATGGAATATACAGTACATAATGAAAATCTGAGAATCAGAAAACCATTTTTGCATCACACCATTGGCTAAGGAGATCCAGCCTTCTATTGTTAGAAGTCAGTCTTAGTTACATTGAACAAATATTATAAAGTAAATTCTTCCAAAACATGACAAACTTGTACATTTTCTTTTAGAAGGTCCCAGTTGGAAGAATTTTCCCCCAGCATTATTCTCTCAAACCTCTTGAATTGATATTACTACAAACAAAAATTTCTGAAACAAATTTTAAATGAGAAAATAGAGAGAAAAGGATTAATCATTTTCTTGTATGTCGTATAAAATTAGGGTTTTATAGTTACTTTTCTTCAGAAGAAAGATTGAACAAGAAGCACACATTTTAATCTATATCTATTTTATAAGACATGTGTTTTAATGTCTCAACATAAGAAACTCACAGAGGACTCAAAAATAAACAATACTTGTGTACATGGGAAGAATTAGCAATATTCTTGAGCAAATAAAAACTATTTTCTAATATAGCTAAAATTTGAAAGTTACTATTCTTTTTTTAAAATATGTAAGTTACTCTTTCTGAATATGATGCCATTAAACTGAAATAATTTTTTCCTATTTTATTTCTATATATATTGCTGATATTAGTAAAATGTATAGATTTAAATTATAAATTACAACTGCATTTATGTGCAAGGAAAAC